GCTGCTGCTGCTGCTGAGGGAACTGCTGCTACCTCCTGGGCTCAGGACAGACACTGGCATAGTGACCCGGTCGGTTGCAGTTGAAACAGGTTCGCTGGTCGGCTAAGCACTCGCCACTATGATACTTGCCACATTTCTTGCAGGTTCGGTTGCCAGAAGAGGGATGATTGCGCCGGTCTGGACCTCCTCGCTTTCCCTTCCGGTTATCCCGGTGGGAATCTGCCTTTCTCTTGCCCGAACTAGAGCCAGGCGGGGCGGAGGAAATGGGCTGGGCATGCTGAACAACAGTCTGAAAAGGCTGGGAGGCATGATAATATGAAGGGACCAGAGCTATCGGGATGAGACAGCTCTCCACCTCCTGAGCCTGACTCACAGTGTCGGCGCAAGGCATCAGTTCGTGACTCCCCACCAGTTCACGGATCCTCTGATTGAGCCCCTTGGGAAACTTGCGGGCCTTCTTGACATCGGTATTCACTGAGTCGCCCGCAAAAAGACACATCCTGGTGAAAGTGTGAATATACTCGTCCACGGTGGAGTTGCCCTGCTGCAAATGGTAGAACTCATGCTCCATCCTATCCCAAAAACTCTAGAGAAGGAACTTGCCACACACCATCATTTTCATCTGCTCCCACGTGAGAGCATTAAGCTCCGCCTCTGGCCTCCGAGCCCAGTGGTCAATCAACTAGTCAGAAGCGTCCTCCTTCATTTGATAAGCTGCGAGAGACACACGTTGTCGGTCCGGGAGGGGGAGCACAACGAAAATCTTATCCAGCTACCTGATCCACTCCAGTACCGCTGTGGGGTTCTCAGTCCCCGCAAAAGTTGTTGCATTCATTCTCTGAAATTGGACTATGAGCTGGGTAAGGCCCATGGCCAGAGGGGCCTGGTGATGATGACGAGGCGGATAAGGAGACGGGGATTGCTGACAGTTACGGTTGTCGAACAAGGTTTAGCACAAAACAAAACAAAATAATCATAATTACAGAAGTCTAGAGTTCGCCATTAAACACAAGAGTTCGATTACATCAAGGTGGATAGATCCTAAGCCCCAAATCACAAGTTCAAGACAACTAGTTTCATTGCCACATGTGTAGTATTTACATATCAAGTATTTTCATTAATACTTAAATCGAACATACCTAAATTAGCGCGGCGTGACGAAGACGAGTGGTCATATTACAATGTCTAAACACATAATCACATATAAACCAGTCTACAGAAACGCAAACTGACATTGATACCAAACTGTAACACCCCATTTTGATTTTAAAGAAATTCCGGACTTTCCAAAAATCAGTAAAAAAATTTTCGAACTCGTTTTCGAAAACATGGGCGTTATTCAAACATTTAACATCAACCAAGTCATATCTGGTTGTTCACTTGGTTTCATTAACCTTAAAATATCAATTTCACATCATTATTAGCTAAACATTATAGCATGCATAATCGAACACATGATATTTAAGAAATAATTCCAATACGAATATCCAAACGAAACATTGGTCCAATAATCTCAAAACGATAAGTTTTAAAAATGGTTCAACACGTCTCAACCAAAAGAGGTTCACAAGGACCACACATTATTCATCAACGGAAGCATAATAATAAAGCATGATCGAAAGACCGACCCACTCGTCTTTCCTCGTCACCCGGTACCTGTTTAACTTGGATCTGTGAAGAGCAGGTGGGGATGAGCACAAAATGAAAATGAGTGCTCACCACTATGTATGCATATAAACATGTCAAAATGGAATGGTCGCAGCATGAATATAAAATAATCACATCATGTCTCATCTCCTATCAATATCACAAGAAATCACATTACTCCTGTGCACATCTATCGCTAGTCGTAGAACGGGGATTCATTACCCTAAGGTGGGAGTACATGCCACGCTATGGAGACGGCCTTCCATATGGGCATACGTACCTCGCAAGGGCACGACCATATCAGAACTTAAGGAGAGTTGCCTCACAAGGACAACCATATTACATCGACGGGGACAACCATATCGACGGCCGTAACAGCTCACATCGATAGGCTACATATTTCACATTCATACATAGATCATATCGACTCAACATAAACAAAACACATATACGACATAGAAATTTTATAAGTAAACCCACCTGGAAATTGCTGTAGAATATTGCACACAATAGTAAGTACGTATGATGAGGCTCGACTCAACAAACACCTACATTAAGCGAGAAAATAAATCAATAACCTATCTCACTACTCGAATTTTACATAAACCCATACTTAATAAAAATTAAGACTTAAGGGTTTTAATCAAATTTTTCGTGGACTTGGAACTCTCTCATTTTTGAAAAATAGGACTCAGAGAATTAAATTAGAGTCTCAGGACTTAAAATAATTTTTTTAAATTTTTCTCATTTTGAAAAATATTTTTAAAATCGAAATCGGTATTAAAACGGGCTTCCAGAACTCAAAATAGGGCTAAAAAGTCAATTGGGCCGAGCTGTCAAGGTTCTGGGCCTGGAGTGTGCGGAAATTGGGCCACAAAGGGCTGAACCAACACTCCTAAAGGCTGAAGGCACGCGGGCCAGAAAGTGGGCTGCTTGCGGGGCCTAGACTGTTGTAAGCGAAATCGGGCCTCTCGCGGGCCCAATGCGGGCCATAAAGCCCGCGCTGCTGAAACTCCTGGTGGACTGGGCTATCAAGCTGTGGTATTGGGCTTGGGAAATGGGTTTTTGGGCTGCTGGGGAAAAACTTGGGCTGGGGTTCAAACATAGAATAAAAATATAGCTACAAGACAGAGGCTGGTCTCGAACCCAGGACCTCCAACACGGATTTTAGCAACGCAACCAATGCACCACCCGTCAAGTTGGATTGGACTACTGAAATTTAAAGTGCAAGAACTAACTTAATAACCTGACTGGAAAACTGAACAGAAGCTGCAAATAATAGAGCAATTTGCGACCAAATTTACCACAAAACTCCAACACAACAGAGGTTCGGGAAGATCACCCATTTTTCAAAAAATGCCACTTTATTAGAGTTTGAAAAACTTTATAAAAATTGGGTTTTCGCTCGGAATACGAAATGACACTCGACGACTCGAAAACCAACCAATGCCATAACGACTACGGCAAGGCTCCAAACAATAATACGAGACTCCGAAACTCGAAAACAACACGCAGAAGCAACGAAATTAGCTACAACAAATAAGACTCGATATTTGCAAACGAGAGTTCCCATTCACACGACTAATATCCGAAACGCAATACGTCGAAAAAAACGAACCAAATAAATATACACTAATCGTTTCAGCGAATAATTCCAACAACATGATAGCACGATGATTGTAATAGGAAGGTTCGAAATAGATTACCCATCTTCGGGAAATTTTAGAAAAACAGGCAGATGAACGGATCTCGAAAACTCGAACGGGACTGGGACCTAAAAATGTCGGAATAAAACCTCACTGAGGGCTGCTATTTCTCAACGGCACGATGGCTCTGCTGTGCAGACGTCGACGACGAACGGGGCGCTGATACGACACGGAGCTGACAGGGATGGAGGGTATTGCTGGAAAAATTGAAGCGCTGGCTATGGTGGATGGCGACTGGACAGGATCTTTGTTTTACAACGGTCGCTCCTTGCTTCTCGAGGACGGACGACTGCCACTCAAGAACGGCGGCCGCCGGTGGGTATGCTGGATGGCTCGCCGGGAAATAGACGTACAAGATTTTTTTTTAGCTGATGCGAGGAGGAGAGAGAGCTGAGAGATAGGTTTCTGATTTGAGATGAAGAATTTCAAACTGAAACCTAAGTAGGCGAGAGAGAGAGAGAGAGAGATAAGATGAGAGAACGTCCGCGATGAAGGAGGAGAACTTCACCGAAAAATCGCGACAGACTTTCAAAATGAAGGACTCGGTCGCAGGAAGATAATATATTTGATCGAAATTTCACATGCGGGCTTAAGGAGAAACAACAGATTTGTACTTGGGCCAGGCCTAAATAATTTATAGGTGTATTGGGCCAAATAAAAACTCAAAGGGTTGGAATTACTAAAAGAATTGGGCCTGAAATTAATTCAAATTGATCCGGAACCAATTTAATCGGTCAGGAATACTACGCGATAACAAGAATTTTCCAATTGATTTTATTGACGACGAAAAAAAATAAATTAACGGAAATACATATTGTTCAAAAATTAAAAAACCCATCATGTCTAAGGCCGTGAGGCTGGATGGTCGCATGTTTCGACCACCTCTAAAGGTGGGCATGTGTTCAAAAATAAAAAACCCATCATGTCTAAGGCCGTCAGGCTGGATTGTCGCATGTTTTGACCACCTCTGAAGATGGGCAGGTGTTCAAAAAACCTTATGTGAAGGGTACAATGTGTGTGTGGTGCATGTTATAGCAAAAACCTGGGTAATCAATCAAACACAAGGCAAACATCATGGCATAATTAACGAAGAGAATCATCAAAGAGACATCCAAAAACATCAAGTCAGCTCATTCAAAAGATTGTCGACAACAAAGACGACTTAAGCAAAATATTCCTATTCAAATAAATAATTGTCAATAGTACATCGCTCAAATTCGAAAAAAAAAGTACAACAAAAGAGAGCTAATCTAAGGAGGAGGGGAAGCGACCGAGTCAGCATTGCTCGAGCTGGCATTAGGATCAGGCTGGGGACCAGTTCCAGAGGTTGAGTCGCAAGCCTTATTGAGAGGACGTTGTCGGATAGATTTGACTGTTGCGATCAACATGGAGGTCGGAAGAGTCACGCCATCAGGCAGAGCGAGTGTTTTCTTTAGTGCGTCTGATCGAGCCAATGTCTCTCGAGCAGCCCTGACCACCATTCATGCTCGAGTGGCAAGGAAGGATGAAGCTAGAGGGCACTTTGGGCAAAGCATCCCAGATAGCCACGGGGTCGAGTTGCTCGAAATCGTCCTCGGTGATCTGCTCACCGGCCTTATGTAGGGCGAACTGAAAACAGTCCACCCCGAAGTCTTGCACCTCCTTTAGATATTGTGGCGACTGCAGTAAGTCAGCCACCACTTGTGCGTGATGCTCACGGAGGAAGAGCTGCCCGGTTGTTGTTGCCCAAAGCATTTGCCTTGCTCGGAGAGCAGTTGCATTGGCATAGCGTTGCTTCTCTGCAGCATGGGCAGCCCTTTCTTTGGCCACGGTGGCCTCCAGCTCAGCCTGAGCATTCTCTGCTCTTTCTCGAGCTTTTTTCGCTTCTGCGCGAGTCTTTTCAGCCTCAACTTGAACCTTCTCCGCTTCTGCTCGAGCCCTCTCAGCCTCAGCTCGAGCCTTTTCTGCTCCGACTCAAGCAGCCCGCTCTTGCTCAAGCAACTCCTCATTCTCCTTCAGCGCGGTCTCCTTTTCTGCCATAGCTACCTCTTTTACCGCGAGGGCGGCTTCTCTCTCCGCGAGAGCTTTATTCTTGTTCGAGAGCTCCCCGTCAAGGGACTTGATCTTGACCTCGAATTCAGCCTTTTGCTCGGTAGCCGATAGTGCCCTCGAGGCCCTTAATGGACTTCCCCGAGCTGTCTCGCGCCTTTTTAGCCAGAGGAAAAAACTCGACTAAGCCCTATATTTAAAAAAGGTGAGATGGTTCAAAACATGTATGGCGTTAGAAGAAGAGTTTGGAGAAAATCGGAGCAAAACATGTACTTGGGCAAGCCATCGGGCAAGCTTGTCACCAACTTCTGGGAGTGTGGCACAACTTTTTTTGTGGTCGTCTTCGAGGAGAGAACCCTCGAGGCGGTCGACCACTTCATTTGTAGAGGCCGACAACAGAGAGGTAGGTCGTGAGGCTAAAGGATTTGACGGAAGATGGCTGTCACGCGCTCGCTTCCAAACCACTTCGCCTTGGTCGGTGCGAGAGCGTTTCCCCAGAGTAGCTTCTCGTCCCCCACCATCTTGATTACGTTACTCGACCATATCCTTGGTTGAGTCCTCAGGGGGGGTAGAAGACTGTTGATTAGAGGAAGGTTTTTCTTAGGTTTTGGCTTTGGACGAGATATGGGACTCAGAAGATTTGTCCGCAGCTTTGAAATAAGTGGCATCTTTTGGATTGGGAGCTCGATAGTCGATTCTTTGGCAGTTGTCAGATCGGTGGCGGTCGTCGGTTTTATGATGATCGTCGGGTTTTTGGTGGCGACCGTCAGTCTTTTGTTGGCGGTCGATGGTTTTGTTTGGCGATCATCAAGCTTGGATGTGCTCGAGGAATTGGGGCCGACGGCCAAAGTAGAAGATGGCTGTGATGTTTTGCCAAGAGGAGGCGGAGGGGTTTGACGCGGTTGTTGTTGTTGTTGTTGGTTCTGCTATTGCTGTTGTTGTTGTTGCTGCTGTTGCTGCTGCTGCTGCCGGGGCGGCGGTTGTTGCTGCTGTGTTTCTTTCGACGGCGGTGAAGGAGATGGCGGAGTCTTCTGCGGGGGCGATCGCTATTGCGGCTCAAGTCGGGACCCACCAGAACTGGCCGACCCGTCGGTCTTGTCGCTGGTCGATCCAGCAACAGCCCCTGATTTTTGCTTCAGGGGGACTTTTCTCAGAGGGATGTTAAAATTAGGAGCCTCTGCACAAGTACAATAAGGAGATCAAGGTAAATGTCAGTCTTCTACCACCCGCAGGGTGGTCGAAGACCTCCTGTTTAGAACATTCCTTGCGGGTGGGCAAGTGTGAAGACCAAAACCCACCATGACTAAGGCCCTCGGGCTGGGTGGTCACTTGTTTAGAACATCACTTGGAGTGGGCAGGCCCTCGGGATGGGTGGTCACTTGTTTAGAACATCACTTGGGGTGGGCAGGTTGGTCGAAGACCTCCTGTTTAGAACAATCCTTGCGGGTGGGAAAGTGTGAAGACCGAAACCCACCATGAATAAGGCCCTCGGGCTGGGTGGTCACTTGTTTAGAACATCACTTGGGGTGGGCAGGTTGGTCGAAGACCTCCTGTCCAGAACATTCCTTGCGGGTGGACAAGTGTGAAGACCAAAACCCACCATGACTAAGGCACTCAGGTTGGTTGGTCACTTGTTTAGAACATCACTTGGGGTGGGCAGGTTGGTCGATGACTTCCTGTTTAGAACATTCCTTGCAGGTGGGCAAGTGTGATGACCAAAACCAACCATGACTAAGGCCCTCGGGCTGGGTGGTCACTTGTTTAGAACATGACTTGGGGTGGGCAGGTTGGTCGAAGACCTCCTGTTTAGAACATTCCTTGCGGGTGGGCAAGTGTGAAGACAAAACCCACCATGATTAAGGCCCTCGGGCAGGGTGGTCACTTGTTTAGAACATCACTTGGGGTGGGCAGGTTGGTCGACGACCTCCTGTTTAGAACATTCCTTGCGGGTGGGCAAGTGTGAAGACCAAAACCCACCATGACTAAGGCCCTCGGGCTCGATGGTCACTTGTTTAGAACGTTACTTGGGGTGGGCAGGTTGGTCGAAGACCTCCTATTTAGAACATTCCTTACGCGTGGGCAAGTGTGAAGACCAAAACCCACCATGACTAAGGCCCTCGGGCTGGGTGGTCACTTGTTTAGAACATCACTTGGGGTGGATAGGTTGGTCGAAGACCTCCTGTTTAGAATATTCCATGCGGGTGGGCAAGTGTGAAGACCAAAACCCACCATGACTAAGGCCCTCGGGCTGGGTGGTCACTTGTTTAGAACATCACTTGGGGTGGGCAGGTTGGTCAAAGACCTCCTATTTAGAACATTCCTTGCGAGTGGACAAGTGTGAAGACCAAAACCCACCATGACTAAGGCCCTCGAGCTAGTTTGTCACTTGTTTAGAACATCACTTGGGGTGGGCAGGTTGGTCGATGGCCTCCTGTTTAGAACATTCCTTGCGGGTGGGCAAGTGTGAAGACCAAAACCCACCATGACTAAGGCCCTCGGGCTGGGTGGTGACTTGTTTAAAACATCACTTGGGGTGGGCAGGTTGGTCGAAGACCTGTTTAGAACATTCCTTGCGGGTGGGCAAGTGTGAAGACCAAAACCCACCATGACTAAGGTCCTCGGGCTGGGTGGTAACTTGTTTAGAACATCACTTGGGGTGGGCAGGTTGGTCGAAGACCTCCTGTTTAGAACATTCCTTGCGGGTGGGCAAGTGTGAAGACCAAAACCCACCATGACTAAGGCCCTCGGGCTGGGTGGTCACTTATTTAGAACATCACTTTGGGTGGGCAGGTTGGTCGACGACCTTCTGTTTAGAACATTCCTTGCGGGTGGACAAGTGTGAAGACCAAAACCCACCATGACTAAGGCCCTCGGGCTGGGTGGTCACTTGTTTAGAACATCACTTGTGTTGGGTTCTGTTAGAAACGTCAAACAACATGCACAGTATTGAACTTTATC